GCCAGGAAAAGCTCAAGAGCACTGCCAGGTGTGGCCCCCAAACAAATAACCCCCCAGTCCCAAGAAACAGCACCAGGAAACCCTGAATACCAGGGGTGTGTTTCCAAATGGGTAAGAACAAGGAGTTTGAAAGCTGTTTGTCACAGACGCCTTGTCCCCTTGGGAGGTCACTGGTGTGACTTCGCACATACCTTAATGTCCTTTCCCACAAGGGGCTTGCGGGGCATAGGGTCATTCTGAAGCTGTGACAGGCCAGGAGCTGGAGTTTGTCCCATCATTTCTACCACACGAGCTCGTGTGGTCGAGATGATGGGAAAAACTACAGCTGTCAGCTCCCCTTCTCCCCTTTGGAGTCTTTTTTTTCTGCTTTTTGGGTCACACCCGGAGATGCACAGGGGTTACTCCTGGCTCTTCACTCAGGAATGACTCCTGGCGGTGCTCAGGGGACCATATGGGATGCTGGGAATCGAACCCGGCTCGGCCGTGTGCAAGGCAAAATGCCCTCTCTGCTGTGCTATCGCTCCAGCCCTCCCCTCTGGATTCTGACGAGCTTCTGGGAGAGGGTCAGAGAACTCAGCAGGCTCGAGTGTGTCTGCATACAAGAGGCCTGAGACCACCCAGTGACCCTCCGAGAAACCAGCCCCAGGAGCCGCCCCTGAGCACCACCAGGAGCGGCCCACAGAAGAAAATGTTTTGGAGCTGGAGTAGAGCGGGTAGGGCCTTTGCCTGGCATGCGGCCGACCGGGGATGGCTCCCAGCATGCGATGGTTCCCTGAGCACCACCAGCTGTTCCTCGTGCAGAGCCAGGAGTAACCCCTGAGCACCCCTGATGTGCATCCTTCTCCCTTTAACATGCCTCTACTGGGTAGCCGGGCAACGTATGACCCCACCCCCCACCCATGCATGGCTGGCGGGGTCCACCCCATGGCTCTCGGGAACGGCCAGCCACGCGGCAGTGTGGTTGATGAGTGTGAGAAGTGACAATACAAGGGCAGGACACACGCAGGTACACAAGGGCCTCTGCAGTGGAGTGAGTCACTGGTAACTGGTCTCTGCCGAGCTGCTTCTGACGACTCCCTGCCAGGTGAAGGCACGAGGCTATCAGCAACACAGGAAGATCTCAGGCCTGCGTCACGTCTCCCTGACACCACGTCACATTTCCATTTTCACGAAGAGACTTACGGGTTCCCACCCTCCCGTTTCTGCCCCATCTAGGGGGCACCTGAACACCTATCCCATCGCCCTCTTCCCCCCCCCCCCCCCCCACAGCCACCGACGTGGGAAGGTCCCACTCTGCACCGGGGAGTAAAGGAGACTTCTCCATCAACGACACTGGCAGGCCGAGGCTGTGAACCAAATTTTTATTTACACACCGTATCTAGAAGCAGATACATAAATTCTTATACAATTTCCAAAAAAATGTGCAAGAAATTACTATTTGTTTACAAACCAAAACACGTATTAAAATCAATGGACTTTGGATAATTCATTCTGCGGTGTTCTCAGTACAAATGGCGCACACCTGATTTGAAACGGACAGAAAAAAGTGTAAACTACAGCAATCTGGATTGCGAGTATCAATGTGTCATGGCACTCCGACAACTAGAAAACTTCTTTAGCCCGGCATGTGTACTTCCTACAAAATTCTGGGAGAACCTGTCATCGTTCTGGACGTAGAGTTTGGATCAGCGACAGCAACTATGACCTCGGCATGTGATCATTATTCGGAAAACAGATGTTTATAAAAAATCTTTATAGGATTTTAAAAAAGGCATTAAAAGAAACCAAACTTGTGACTACGAGCGTACCAATACTTCACTTTAGCATTTTAAAGTTGCTTCTGGAACGGGGGCGTGGTCCTCCTGAGGGTATCCGAGACTGCCCACTCTTGGCAGAGTGATTTCACTTCCAAATTAAGACTTCACACTCGACTGAAAAGCATTCAGATTTAAAATATATCATTCTGAATCATCCGTAAAACAAACCTCAGATACAATGGGAAATATACGATTCAAGTCAGCATTTCTGAATGCATTAAGATATTTCGGTCTGTAACTCTGACAGAGACATTGCATATAATCTTAAGTTTTTCGCCACTTTTATCCCGTTTCAGTAATACTGGCTCAGAAATTCCTCTGCATATTCTGGATTTTATTTCCTGTAAGTCAGCGAGTTGGCCTTTTGGCACATGATTTTAACATCAAGACGACTGCCTTGAGTAGCTGGTTTCTTTAGAAATTATTTTGAGTTCTATGATCATTTCCTGTGATATAAGAATTTTTCACCTTCTAAATCTTCAGATTAGATTATTGCACCGAGTAGAAAGAGAACAGTTTTTCTTAGCTAGTGAGATATCATTCAAGTACTCCCTATAGTTTTATTATTTATAAAAATGCGTAATAGTGTCCTAGAAAGTCTAGAAATAGCTTCTGGTCTCCATCAGGTTTTATGATGAAGTATTAGGTTAAAAGCAAAATTTTTCTGATTCACTTACTCTGGCAAAAGGACACGGCTTCCCTCTTTTCTTTTCCTTGCCTTAAACTCTGATTTGCAGAAACATGTCAGGATCCCCCAGGGGGCTGGGTCCGTGTGTCTCTACTCCGCCTTTCTAGACAATCCAGAAACTGACCCAAATTGAATCTAGACCCAACTACAGGATGAAGCTGCCTGTCTCCCTCTGCCTGCTTCAAGCAGACTGCCACTGACCCACGTGCAGCAGCCACTCAGAGGCACAGCCGCTGCGGTAGCTGCTTTGTTTATAACTTCTTGGCAGATACTTTCAAAATCGATTCCCCACCAGACTTTGAACTGCATCAGAATAGGACACTTCAACTGCCAGGTTATTTCATGGCTGATGCGAAAGCACGTGAAAACCTGGCTTTCTGTACACGGACACGGCCGCAAGAGTTGCCCTTCTTAGAACACAGAGTACAATCTCGGGAACGCTTCGACGGAATCCAGAATCGTTTGAACAAGAAACGAAAGGGCCGGATGTTTCCACACAGGGTATCCATCACGGGGAAGAGGGCGGGGAACACGCTATAAGCCCACGCGGGAAGACGGATTCAGGGCAGAACAAAGACCTCTGTGCACCACAGTGTCACGGGGTGTCCACGTAAATGCTACAGGAAACACGGAGAAGCCAGCTCGACACTTTGTATGAACACACAGTGACTCTGTGACAATACCTGCCATCTAATATAGATGCACAGGGACCTTTAACTTACCCTAGCTCTATCTTAACTTGTTTAAAAATAAATAGTTTTGCAAAAAAATAGTTTAAATGTCTTGCATTAATTTGATAACAAGTTTACAACTCTGTAATAGTTCTTAATCCAAATAGCTTATCGTGAACACGTAAATTATATTATTACAGTATACTCCATACTCCATCTTACTGAGACACAGGATTTGAAAGAGGAGTCTTTGCGGCAGGTACAGTTAACATTCCACCAGAACCGAGTACCACCCTTCCTGCAGGTCAAAAGAGGAACACGGCACCGTGGCATTTTGTGCCCTTTCCTGGCAATTCTCAGTTCTGACACTAAACCAGAGGGGAAAAATAACACCGGGAAAGCAGGTAATGGCAAATGATAAAACCATGAAGTCTGACCAAAGACCTTCCCGCAAAGGCAGGAGGAGAAAGGAGAACAGAGGAACCAAGGAAGAAAGGACGCGAACCCCCAGTTGTGTGAAATGTTTCCTTTCAGGCTGGGTCCTGGAGGCGATGTCTGGATGGGACAATCCCCAGAAACACAGTCTAGCTCAGCTCTGTGTGATTTAAAAGGATACCCCCCCCCCCCAATAACAAAAGAGAGGAAATAACTCCCGGTGCCAATTTACTCAAGATGCAGCTAAATTAAAAAAAGTTGGAAACCCATTCAAATGGCAGCATATGCAGTAGGGAAAACAATTTCCAGGCAGATCATCAGGGCCTATTGTTTTTTCATTCGTGATATGCCACCATCACCACTTTCTGCCTAAGGTCACTGGGGTTTGTCGCGTGTTGTTTTCTTGGGGGGGAGAGGAAAGAAAGGATCAGAGCTCACGCACCTTAATAAAGAGTACATAAAAGGACAAGATAAACCGATTTTGAGACCAAGTTTTCTCTTGAAATCAATGAATCATTTTATATATAAACTTTCATTGGTATAAAAATCAGTTCTCTATCAAGTTCGTCCACGAAGAGGTCGACGCATCTCGAGAGACAAAGCAGACTTCAACAATGAAAACATGGGTGAGAGACACACAAAGCAACAAAAAAGGACCTGCTCTCCCGGGCACCTCTGCTCAGCCGAGCATTTTCTCCAATGATTCTGAGCCCATCGGTCTGCCTGTGCAATGCCAATCTGTACCAGAGTTTAAAGACAGAAAAAGGCAACAGTGTCTCACACTGGTGGTATACATTTCTTTCCACCCCTCTAAAGTAAGGCCATTGAGTAAAAGAGACAAACCACGAGAAATGAAGGCAACACCAACCAAAAAAAAAAAAAAAAGGCGTGTTGTTGGGGAAAAAAAAAAAAAGAAAAAAAGAGAGAGACATCTCAGGCTTAACGTTCCATCTCCCTCGCCGGGCGCTGAGCCCAGCCCAACTCGGGCCCGTGTCCGTGGGAACCGTGAAGTGGTACCGCAGGGCCCGGTGGCTCTGACAGCTTTGGAAAATGGGCCATGGGCGGGGAGGAGGGAGGAGGGAAGAGAAAGAGAGAAAGAAAGAGAGAGAGAGAGAGAGAGAGAGAGAGACTTGGCATGATTCGATTCTGTAAATCCCACTCGACTTCGGGCTGGAGACACATGAAATGTGCTTTTAATGCAATAAAAAATCACAGTGGATAGCAGCAAAGGACGTGTGTGTTGGGGTGGGCGGGGGCGCGGGAGGAAGGGACCACCGCTCTCCGGGCGGGCGGGCCGGGCGCCTTCTGCGCCCAGGTCCGGAGGGATGGGCGCACGCGCACCTGGGCGCCCGGTCCCCCGCCGGGCCCGCCCCGGGGTCCGAGCCCGCGCCCCTCCCCGCGCTCAGTAGTGCTTCTCCTGCAGGTAGGCCTTCATCTTGGCGGGCAGCGGCAGCTTCTGGATGAGGTCGATGCGCGTGGACTGGCGGATGACGAAGCGGCACAGGTACTGCAGCGAGCGCACCTGCATGAAGCGCGACACCGGGTGCGTGAGGCGCACCGGGTAGGTGGCGGCGCCGGGCAGGCGCGAGCGCGAGTAGCAGAAGGCGCCGTTCTCCGAGTCGCGCACCGAGTGCTCGATGAGGTCCACCACGGACGCGTGGCCCTCCACGTCGGGCTGCTCGTAGAAGCTGAAGCGCCCGTTGGAGTGCTCGATGCGCGTGTGCAGCGTCTTGCCGTGCGAGCGGAAGCTCAGGCTGAGCAGGTAGCGCTCGTCCGAGCTGTCGCGCACCAGGAACGAGCCGTCGGGCACGCTGGCCAGCTTGCCCTCGGCCTCCCAGCGCGTGATGGGGCCCCAGTACCAGCCCTGGCGCGCCAGCTTCTTGAGCTCCTCCGTCAGGCTGCTGCTGCCGCCGCCGCCGCCGCCGCCGCCGCCGGCCCCGGCCAGCGCGGGGCCCGGCCCCAGGCCCGCGTGCGCCTCGGACCCGGCCCCGGCCCCGGCCAGCGCCGCCAGCGTCCGCTGCAGGGGCGGCGGCAGCAGGGGGGACAGCGGGGGCAGCCCGGCCGCGGCGGCGTTGGCGGCGGGGGCGCGGGCGCCCGGCAGCACCAGCCCCGCGCACAGCCCGGCCCCCGCCGGACCCTCGGCCTCCACCTCCTCCGCCTCCTCCCCCGCGTCCTCCTCCTCCTCCACCGCGTCCTCCTCCTCCTCGTCGTTGTCCTCCTCCTCGTCCTCCCCGGGGTCCCTGGCGTCCCCGGCGCCCGACACGTCCATGGGCGAGGGCGCGTCCAGGCAGGGCGCGGCGGGCAAAGGCACGGTGTAGTGGATGTAGTCGGGCACCAGCCCCAGGACCACAGGCACGTGGGCGTCCAGGCGCAGCCGCAGCTCCCCGGGGCTGCCCGCTGCGGGGTGGGGGGCGCCGCCCAGGCCCAGGCCCCCCAGGCCCGGGCCCCCCGCGGGGAGGGGCTCGGGGCAGCAGGGGGCCGGGCCGCCCGGCAGGTCCTTGCGCAGCCCGTTGCGGGCCGGGCCGGGCGCGCCGGGCGCGTGCACCAGCGCCTTGACCCGCACCTCCATGCGGACGCACGTGTCCTCCGAGGCGGCCGGGCGCAGCGGCCAGGGCGCGGGGCTGTAGTGGTGGCTGCGCAGGGACGTGGAGCGCACGGGCCGGGGCGCGCGCGCGTCCTTGAAGGCCAGCGGGGCCGAGGCCGACGAGAAGGCGTCGTCGTCGGGGTCGTCCAGGCCGCAGCCGCCGCAGCCTTGGCCTTGGCCTTGGCCGCCGCCGCCCTTGGCCGCCTTGGCCTTCTGCTTGGCCGACAGGCGCCGCTTGAGCGTGCCCATGAGGCCCTCGGCCTTGGCCCGGCCCTTGCCGGCCTTCTCGGCCTCGCCGCCACCGCCGGGCTCCCCCACACCACCGCCGAACAGCGCCTCGTCCTTGCCGAAGTCGCCGCCACCGCCGCCGCCACCACCACCAGCCAGCGAGGGCGGCGGCACCACCAGGAACTCGGGCTCCTCCTTGCTCTTGCTCAGGTGGAAGGACTTGCGGAAGGTCTTCAGGCTGATCTTCTTCATTCTGCCGGGCGCGACCCCCGGCTGCAGCCGTACCCTCAAGCACCGGGACAGCCCGCAGCGGTGCATCGAGGCATCGTCCCGGTCACGGTCACGCGCCCTCCGGAGGAGCCATCTCCTGCGAGGGGTGGGGGGAAGGAAAGAAAATGGTTAGGACCCATCAGGGACGAGTCCTTTCCCGGGGGTCCAATCCTCGGGCGTCTGCCGTGGACAAGGCACAAACCCCACAGGCCCGGACTACAGGCGAAGAATGCGGTGGGAACTTGGGCAAAATGCTCCCACCGCCCAGGGCAGGGTCCAGGCCCAAAGCTCACGGCCCCGTTCACACCCAGACGCAGCCACGGGAGACGGGCACGGCCGGGGTCCCAGCACCCAACCGACGCCCGAAGAAGACGCGGCACAGCACCTCCCGGCTTCCAGGGGACAGAGCTGGTCGGCCCACCTGAGTGCGGCTGACGGCAGCTCTGCGAAGCCCACCAGGGCACTTCCCTCGTTATGTCTTCCCCCTCTTGGCTCAGCACCCTGCACGGCCCACTCTGACCTCCGGATCCAAAGAGACAGTCTCCAAGTCCTTCCCGGGTTGGTCACATCACTGGAGTGACAGGGCTGTCACTCTGTAACGACGGCGGCGCCCCGGAAACCACCCCAGGGCAGAACAGAGAGAGAGACAGACACCAGGAGGGCATGCTGACCACATACACTGCAGCTCCCGCACCGGCAGGTGCTCACTGCCCAGAACCATCAGGGTACAGATAAAGAATCCGGTCACCACTTGAGCAAAATGCCCCGACCGCCAGGAGCAAGAGTCTCACCTCTCCCGGCCCCGCGGGTCCCTAGGAAAGACTGCAGCTGCGCCCGGGGCCAACCAGGCCTGGCAGCGCCACGCCCACGCTGGGGTCGGGGGAAACTACCTGCCATCGGCCGACTGAAGCAAGATCTGGTCCCCATGTCGAGACCCTACAGAGCGGGTCTCTCTGCCATCAGCCACCTACCTAGTCCCTGCAGGGGCCCGGCCGGCACGATCGTTTCCATAAAGGAAGAAGCCATTTTTAAAGTCTTGGAACGCTGGTGAGGGAAGCCGACAGTCTGGCTGGAATGATGCACGCACGAAGCCTATAATTAGCAGTATTGTAAACCACAGTGCTTCAAATTTAAAAAAAGAAAATAAATTTTTTTTAAAAATTTTAAGTCAAGACTTTTAAGCTAGTTGTAAAAAAAAAAATCAAATATATGTACACTGAGAACAGCACCCACTTTGAAACTCCACGGGCATCTGCGTGTTGAGCAATTCACTACATCCCAGCATGAAGATCTAACAACACTAAGCTATTAACATTTTTATTTGACAAAAATACAGCCATTCAGAAACACGTAAAAGGAGACGACAGTGCAGGCGAGGCGAGTCTCACCTGCCGGGCGGGCCAGGCCGGGCCGGGCCGGGTGTCCCGCGCCTATAAGGCAGAGGTACCCTGACACCTGAGCTCTCTGGGCTGCGGGAAGAGCATCGTGGGACAACTTGGAGGTTGTGCACGTGACGAGTGACAACCAGGAAGGCAACTGACACAGACGTGAGGAATCTACTTGCTTGGGAAGGGCAGCAAGTATAAGCCATGTCAACACTTTGAATGGTAACTGTAAATGGTCAACAAGGAAAAAAACAAAACAAAAGACAACACAAGAGAGCCAGAAACGTGCATCGGGAAATGAGTGAGTAGCGTGAAGGCCTGGGCTGGCTTTCTGGGGGAACCCCGAGGAGGTCCCTGTCCTCAACGGCGGCGTCAGCCCGGCGCTGTCTTCCTACAGGAACGCCGCAGGAAACGTGCACGTGCACGTTCCTCATTCTTTCCTGAAGTCTTCGCCTTCAAAGCGGTGGGCATCGCTTTGTTTTTACTGTTGTATTTTATAAACAGAGCTGCTGAGACCATTTCTCCTCTTATCTGGTTAGGAAACCAACGATGCTATTAAAGATGTTGTTCACTGAAGGAAAGAAAGTATGAAACGTTTTTGTAACTGAGCATTTTGTTTGTTTTGGTTTGGGGTCACAGCTCGGGGGTCTCAGGAGTTACTCCTGGGGCTCTGCCCTCGGGGATCATTGCCGGCGGTGCTGGGGCGGGGGGGGGGGGCCCTCCCCCACAGGCGGCCGAGCCACAAACCGGTGACAAATCACCACAGCAGAAAGAGCCGAGGCCGCGACCTCACGTGCTTGCTTGCTGCTGGCAGGAAGCTGCAGACCAGGCTGGCCCTCGGCCGCCAGCGCCTCTGCTGCCTCAGGATGTGGCCAACCCCTCGGCCCACAGGACCTCCTGGGGGCCGGTGCTCGGGGGACCCTAGGGGATGCCGGGGATCAAACCTGGGCTGGCTGCGTGCAAGACAAACGCCCTCCCCACTGTGCTACCTATCGCATGGGTTCCACATTAAGTGTTTTTTTTTTAAATACCCCAAAACAAGCTGCAAAGGTATTATTCTAGGTAACAAAATAATCGGGTGATCTTGCAAAAACACGCTGACCTGCGACGGTCCGCAGGAACCTCTGTACCAGTGACCTCGAGGGACGCAGGCGCACCCTGAGAAGCTGCCAGGGGAAGTGAGCGACGGCGCCTCCTGCGGCTCGGGGCGGAAGAGGTTACGGCACTGGGTCCCACACCCCGCACCACGGGCGAAATAAATTACAGGCAGACCCAAGAGCTGATTTTTAAGACGCAGTCCTGACCAGAATGAAGCACAGAATTGCCGTTAGGGCAGTGAGATGAGCTTGGTTTGCTTTTGGAACAGACCTGGCAAGTGGTCAGAGGCCCACTCGAATGGGGAGCACCGGGGGGTCGGGCCTTCCCCACCCGCCGTCCACGGCACTGCCCAGCAACACAACTTCTTAAACACGCAGGAGAAGAATTCAGGAGGGAAGTCCGGTTCGAAAGTTCCCCCGAAGGGAACTGGGAGGGAACCATCTGTCAAAAATCTAACGTGAGGCAGAAAAATAACACCCTGAAAGTCTCGATCAAAGATCGCCCACTTCCCTTCCCCGGACACTTCGGGACGTCTTCACTGCAGCGCCCTGAAAGCAGGGTGAGGCCCAGCACCCCGCCCCCCTCAAGCCCCGACGCCCAGGGGAAGTGCGGCTGCCTGCTCCCTGGCAATCAACCCAGTCTGGTCAGACCCTGCACCCTGCACCTTGCACCCTGCACCGGAGCTGAGGAAATTTAATCACTGACATCCACGTGACAACAGTTAAAAACCCGTGAAGACCCGAAGCGGGAATGTTGCAAAGAAAGGATTTTTTTGCAACTGGAAAAAAAAAAGGAAAAATAAAAAACCCTCTTGCCCACGGGCTCAGAGATTCAAGCCCCAGGAGGCCCTGCGGTCCTCGGCAGGGACCGCGGCATCTTGAGGCAGCAGCGCTGGGCGGCCGCGGCCCAGCTGCTCTCAGCTTCCTGCCAGCCGCCAGCACATGAGGTCGTGGCCTCGGCCCTTTCTCTGTGGTGATCTTGTCCCCAGCCTGTGGCTGCCGGGGGAGGGAGGCGCAGACGCTTTCTAGGAACGGGGGGAGGGGGGGCCGGGGGGGTCAGAGGCCGGGTCCCCCCGCGGACACTCGGAGCTGCTCCTCCCGGTCACGCCTGTGCCCTCAAGCCCTCTGGGACGACAGCCACGGGCAGCAGGACCGTCTCGTCTGATGTACGTCCTCGCCTCCTGGCCCGACGGCAGCATCAGGGGATGGAGCCGCCAGCCTCCGGCGTGGATTTTCTGGGGCCAGATCCACTAAGGACAGAACAGGAAGCCACAGGGTTTGTCCGACCAGGCCGCAGTCCCGGGTGGAAGGAGGCTGCCTGTCGGGAGTCCACGGGCCCCAACCCACGAAGCGCCCACCGAAGGGGGCCCATGTTGGCCCGCCGTGGTCTCCAAGTCCCACCCGAGGTACTGAGCACGGACACACACACACACGTGGCAACACAAAGGCTCTCTGCTCCCGAGACTGGCTGGGGGCCAGCAGAGTGGCCCCGGGGGGCGCTGATGGGAGGGCAGCGCCACGTTCTGGAACATTCCACCCAGCGCCACTGCCCTCCCTGCTCCCGAGGGCTCCCCCAGCCGCCCTCTGTCAGCTACTCCACTAGACTTCAGAGGGGCGCAGGGGGGAGGGAACCCTCCGGGAAGGAACTGGCCCCAGCCATGGGCGGGAGGTGGTCCCCAGCACTGCCCACAGTGGCCGTCCTCCCTGCCCTGGCTCCGCTGCAGGGACAAGAACCTGTCCACACAAGGCTGTTCCACAACACGTCCGGGCCAAGGACTCTGCAGGGGGGGGTCCCCTCCCAGTGCTCCCACCGTCTGTTGAGGGGGGACACACAATTCCCATCTCAGACTCCACAGAGAACTTCCGGGACCACCCAAGGGCTCAGGAGGGGTGTTCCCTCCCCGCTTGACGGAGCCTGTCACACCACCGGACCGGACCCCAACGCCACGGCCTCAGATGAGGGCCAGCGTCCCGGTGGCACAGACACCGAGAGGGGGTGGCGTGAAGCTGTTCCCCGGACCCAGAGCCCAGCCCCCGAGACGGCAGCATCTACAGGGGCCCACCAGAGCCAAGGGGCGCGGGGGAGAGTTGGGAGAGTCATCTCTCCGGCACACTGCTCCACCTGGCTCGCACCCGGGCCCGACAAGTCCTCAGAGGGAGCACTACGGAGCGAACACAGCAGCCCTGGTTCTGGGCAACGCCAGGGCCCAGGAGAGGCCTCGCCGGCACGAGGCCCGGGGTTCGGTCCCCACTACGGCCGAAGGGACACGAGGAGCCACTTCGTTTACCAAATGGTGAGGACGTCGGCGACGCCTGTTCCTCGCACAACCCCGAGCTCCGAGACTCAGCTCCCCCACGCACCGTCAACCGAACCCCATCCTAGACATCAGACTCTTGATAAAAAAGTTCTCTCGGGCCATATGGTTCTGTTAACTCTTCCCTTCATTTTCTAGGCAAGGACTGCTCGGGAGTGTTTAAGAGTCTCTGCTTTTCCTTGGCACTTCCAAAAATACATGCCATCTTTTTATAGGATGCCATCTGTCTCCAGCGGGCTCGGTAAATATTCGCGAAGAGGACCGCTGCTTTCCTCATTGTGAAACCTCCGGCTTACACAG